TATCGAAGTATCAAGTGATAATGACGATGAGCCATTTTCTAGTGACGATTCTATAATAGATAGAAACTACATGCCGTCTTCTGAAGAAGAGTCAATTTCTGAAACAGAATCAGATTTATTTTCTGTCTCAGATGCAGGGGATCAAGATAATCAATACTCTGAGCAAAATGTCACTAACATTCAAAGTCAACAATGTGACCTATGGGGGCCTATTTTTCCGAAACTCGACCCATTTGTAACAAATTTTACACAAAAGTTAAATGTTAATATGAAAAATATCAAAGAACCGCTAGACGCTTACAGACTTTTTTTAACCGACGATGTTTTGGAACTGATTGTTAGAGAAACTAATATGTATGCAATCCAAAAATTAGATATTTCCAAGAAAAATAAGAAAAGAGTTGAATGGAATGATACCGATAAAAATGAAATTTTATCATTTTTCGCAATAATTTTAACAATGGGCTTAGTTCCTTTGCCGACACTTAGTGCTTATTGGAGTAGAGACGAAATGTTTCACAATGCATTTGTAAGTTCCATCATGCCCCGTGATAGATTTTTAACATTGCTCAAATATCTACATTTTTCCGATAACATGGTTGCCAGTGAAAATAGGCTCTGCAAAGTAAAACCATTGCTCGATATACTGCTGGAAAACTTTAAGTCTGTCTTGACACCTGGCCAAGAGATTATAATAGATGAAAGCATGATTCCTTGGAGAGGCAGATTGTTATTCAAACAATACATTCCGAATAAAACACATAAATATGGAATCAAACTATACAAATTATGTACAGTAGATGGGTATACGCACAATGTGATAGTTTATGCAGGTAAAAACTGCGATCCGGTTAATATTAGCAGTAACAGTCATTCAGAAGACATTGTACTAAAATTAATTTTAAGTTTAGACCAGAAGGAGGGCAGAACCTTATACGCTGATAATTTCTATTCCAGCATTCCTTTAGTGAAGGAATTGTATCAAAGAAATATTAAATACTGCGGAACACTTCGATCTAATAGAAAAGGGATTCCAAAATCTTTTGAAAGAAAGATGAAAAAATCTGAGGTGTATGGAGAAGAAAGTGGGAATTTAAGAATAATAAAGTGGATAGATAAGAGACCAGTTTTGATGATCACATCTGATGCCACACATGAGGCGATTCTTGTAGAAACTGGTAAAAAAGATAGAAAAGGGAATGAAATAAAAAAACCAAAATGTATTACTGATTACAATAAAGCTAAAAAAGGTGTGGATATAAGTGATCAAATGTCCGCCTATTTTACGGTTTTGAGGAAATCGCTAAAATGGTATCGAAAGCTTTGTTTCGAGTTGCTTTTTGGAACGTGTGTTGTAAATGCATGGGTTGTTTTTCAGTTAGCCACAGGAAAAAAGTTGTCTATGATGCAATTTAGAAGGCAATTAGCTCGGTCGTTAGTTACTACGGATACTGGAGATAAAATAAATAAAACACCAAAACGAAAAATCCATACATTTGTAAAACCGGAGGGTAAAGGACGCAAACCAAGAAAAAAGTGTGTAGGATGTTATACAATGTTACGGAAATCACTTTCAAGTCGAGAAGCGGATAAGAAAGTTAGAAAAGTAATCAGCTATTGCGCTGATTGTACAGGTCAGCCAGGATACTGTTTACCTTGTTTCAACGAAAATCATGTAAATTAATTTTTAATGCATATTTGTTAATTTTGTCCAAGTATTTCTTTTATAAATAAAATACACATTTTTCTTTTAAAAATTAGTCTTATTTTTTATTAGTCTTAAAATTAGTCATATTTTTTATTATATTTATTTCCTGATAAAACCTTGTATTTAATACAGAATTGTCGACATTTATTTCACATATTAGATTTTTAAGAATATTTGTTTATATGAAAAAAACAATGTAAAAAACGGCACTATTAGGGACGCCGGAGGCCCGAATCGTATATGAATACAATCTTGATACAGGACGCCCGGGGCCCGAATCGTATTGTAATACTTTCAGTGGAAATAACACCCGTCGTGAATGTGTTAATAATACTTTAAATGCCTTTATATTTTTATAAACTGCCAAATTTCTTTAATTTTCGTTTAAACGTAGAATTCAGCGATGAAAAACGAAATTTCTCACATTCGATTTGGATTTTTGAGTTATTTCATTTTATTATTAGAGGTGGGATATCACCAAACTGATTATTGTAACGTAAAAATATTTACCTGCATATTACTTTTAGAACTAACTTTCATAACAATATTTATCTAAATATGCAAAATTAAATTTGATATTAAGTAACAATTAAGTTTTTCCTCTTCGTTCGGCATATGAAGAGAAGTTTATGTAGACTATTATAAAGTGAAGTCTACCTAATGTAAATGAGGTATAAACATGCCGATCCAAAGAAATGCATACTAACAATTAAATTATCAACACCTAATTTCTCATAATAAAACATTAAAAATATATTATTTAAAAATTATTTATATAAAATACTGAAATTCTGGTAGGTACAGCTTGTCAATAATAAACAAAATCCTAAAACAGCACTGAGTATATTTTTAAGCACTGACAACACAGATAATTGTACTACAATAAAGCTGGCGGTAAAGGTTAATATTAATGCGGAAAATCTGGGTTTGTGCAACATAATTGATCGTAAGTTTAGATATTATTAAAAGATAATACTATCTTGCAAGGAATCAATTTTTTTATATACAGATCACCACATTGTTTTATTGACCATACAACACAATGGCAATCGCTGTGACATGTTCATCGAGCAATAAGACAAAAGAGGGAATGTAAAGGTAGTGGGGGTAAACATATTGATAGACAGGAAGTGCCATCTTGAGAGGCCACTTTAGACAAGGATAGACAGTCTCTTTCCTTGTTTAAGAAGTCAAATTTAGTTAGGTTATGTTATTGCTTGTCCCAACTGTCACATGAAATTTTATTTATTTTAAATATTTTACCAATTGTGTCACTTTTTAGACTATTATAGTTAATATTTAATTAAAACTTTCTCGTCTGAAAAATATTTTATAGCTATTGTTAATAAGTGTTGGAAAATTTAAATTTAGCGCCTTTGCATTTCCGGATATGTCCGCCATCAGAGGCCACTTTTTTGGTCTCCTTTTCATAACGATTAGATTCCCTCTTTTATCTTTTTGCTCGATGGACATGTTACACGTTCCCACCTCTATTCCTCCTATCCACCTATATTCATTTCACAGTAGGTACCAATTGTCGTAATTGTCACATTGACATTAAAAATTTCAAACAAAGTTCTGACAGAATAAACAAATTTTATTGTTTTTTTTTTTATTTAAAACTACAAACGATTCTCATTCTGATTTTTTTTTTCTTTTTTCTTGTCTTTTTGTTATAAGCTTTGTCCATAAAATTTGTAAAATTTTCAGTGACACTAAAGCAGATTACTTATTTATTTGTATTGCTATTAAGGCTAAAAATAACCAAAAAATTAGTTTTGGAGCATTATAATAAATATACTCTAGAGATTGGATTGCAATAAATCTGAATTCCTATGGTCTACAAAACAATGTCGTTATCTGTATATTGCGCAACTTAGACAACATGAGGTTAAGGTGAGGAAAAAAGTTAATTTTGGAACTTATTTCAGTTTACTGATAAGCTGTATCTGTACCTACTCTATATTTTACGTATTAAAAATACCAGCTATAAAAACTATTTATCAGTCATTGCGGCGATGGTATCAATTAAAATTTCACCATAAAAAACGGTTTCATTTCAAAAATATGAATTCAAAAAGCATTGAGTTTTCTCCATCAAAGTATTTAGAAATTATTCAATGTTTAAAAATCTAGTAACTTGGGTTTTTCTATTTCATACGAGTTTTCATTCAGATCACAAATATAAGAGATTTTTAGAACATTTTTAGTCACTCTGAAAATAATAAATTGTAATTAAAAACAATGCTTCTTTATTAAACATACATTTTCTAAAATTTTATTGCCCATGTGTTTTATTTTACTGATCTTTAATTATTTCAAAATAGAATTATTTGTTCGGTCATCATATCATATGATCGGTAAATGGAATTCGAAACATTCTTCTCCAACTGATCATTTTAATGGCATACATCTTCCTTCTTTCTGATTGCCTTAGTGTCCAAGATTCGTATCCATATTTCAGTAGGTACTGAAAATATTAAGTAGTTGGCCAATTTCATTTTGAAGATTTTCAAAATATTGGGGTCTTTCCATACTTTAGTCATCTTTCCGATAGCGATTTTGCCTAGATTACATCTAATTTTTTCTCCTAGGGTGTCCCTGTGTTTGTAATAATTAATTCCAGATATAAGCACAGAATAATAAACAATCAGAATGCCCACTCTCCATGGAAAATTAAGTACGCGCATCTCGTTCGCGCAGACGTTCCGCCATGTTTTAAAGGGAACCAGTGTTGTTTATGTGGTGTTCATAGAAAAATTAACCCGGTTTAATTGACTTACGGCAATCATAGACATTCTATACAATTATATTAACATTGTTAAATATAATAACATAAATATTAAACATTAAACATAATTATAAATAATTACATATCCTCACAAATCATATGTCTGTGTTATGTTTCCTTCTAAAACATGGCGCGCGTGCTGAAAAACTTTAAAGGCGGCATCGGAGAGTGGGCATTCTGATTGTTTATTATTCTGTGAAGTGAGAGTTTATAACATCATGCCGGTCAATTTTCTTATATGGGCATGATTGTTGTGTTGCCTATCCACTATCACGATTTTTGTCTGATATATTTAACTCCAAAAATAAAGTAAACCAACAAAATATCGTACCAATTTTGAGTCCCACTATCCATATAAATCCAAATATAGAAGAAGTTACATGAATCAATATCTCCATTACCAGATTTCGAAGTTAATGGGCCTTATCTATAAGCACGAAAAAATTATATAACTACTCAGATATAAATAAATATATATTTTAAATAGAAAATCTCCCAACTTTCATTTTTTTTAAACATCGGTTTAATAATATCTAAATTATTTGAAGAATACTTAAATACTAACTTTTTAAATCATTTCGGTTTTAATCGCATGACCATTTTGTAAATCTTCTATAGACGTTGATGCTAATCCTTCAATAGTAGTCAATTTAATGGTATTGCCAAACTTTTTCTCCAGTGCTTTCGCTAAGGGAGGAATAAATAAATTGGGATCGTACATCCTTCTAGGACGTTTTGACAGTTTATTTACTGCGAAACTTATGAGCAGTCCTATTATTATTGTCAATAGGAGTCCAAACACTCCGTTATATAGATAAGATACCTTATGAATCCATAAATACATCCTAAAAAATAAAAAAATAAATATTACTTCATATGTAAACAAACAACATGAAAATGGACAATGTATGGCTTTCAAGAATTTGTTCGTGACAAGTACTTTTCATAGCATCATAACTACAGTTTGCATAATATTTCTTTTAGGTTGTGTAAAGTTGTAAATCTACCTTAATATTTGTAAACCTACCTTAACATTAGTGACGTGTCGAGAGAGAAAGAGAAAGACAGACATTGACAGTCTACAGACTGGTCTTATGGCTCTTTAGAGATAATTACAAGTATTAGTTTGTCTTGTAATAAATAAAATATACAGAAATGAGTCGTCGATATAAACAATTTCAACTAAAACAAGATGCATAATCAAAATTAAAAATAAATAAACTTCACAAAACATTTACAGCAATTAACACACTCTATTCTCTCCAAAACTTAATCCAACAACACACAGAAGGACGCGAATGAAACACTTTTTATCTGGGAGAAAACAAGACCGCTAAGTGTCAGAATAAATCAGCAAAAATAAAATAGATGGAAATGCTAGTAAGTAGAGTTACTGGAGGTAGGACTGGAGAAATAAAAGAAACGGAGAAAACTGCTTTTTGTGGCAAAAAAATCGAACCCAGATGAAAGGTCTTTAAGAACACTATAAGACCAAACTGATAAAATTAAATTTAAAAATAAACCAAAAAAGCTTGATGGGAAAGAAATAGACAAGACATGTCTGTGTAGGCGATTAATATGGGTATTGGATAGACGAAGAAATAAAATTGGGAAAGCCGACGCCACGAATAACGTGAAATAGAGTGATTAAAATGATAAAATGATAGGACCATACTCTAAAAATATTTGTAAATACTCCGCGCCACCCATATTGATGGAGTGGAACAAACTTATCTTTTTTGGAACACCCGGTATATTTATACATTTTTGTACTCTTCTCGGTCTTCTCGTATTTACAATATAAGGTTTGGCTGTGTTATACGAGGTAGTTTAAAAGATAATTACATTTTTGTATTAATTTCGTACAAAAATAGCAACTTGGAATGAGTATTTTCTGAGATTTCTTAAATGGAACACCCTGTATATTAGTATTATAATAAAATATTATTTTATGATACTTTATTATTTATCGGTGCATAAAACCTAAGGATAGTGTTTTCTGTTTTTACCGACAAAATGTCTATAAATTTAGACACGTTATTCGAAATTATGTTGCCTTTAAAATTATGGTTTTACTTTCTTATTTTTTCTGTTTGAAACTTCTGTTGAAAAATTGGATTATACTGTTTAACGTTCTATTATAACCAAACTTTTTACGCCTATCACTTGAAAGTTTTTTTTTCTGTAATCGTTGATTTTTTTTTCACCTTTATGTGTCCAGTAATAATCGAGAAAAGCGTGTTCCAACTTTGAAAAAAATTGCTAAAAAATACTGAAATCTAATAGTGAAATGTGTTACTCATTATTGGCACTTTGTTTGATCATTATCGCCTTCGTGACGCCAAATCTCATGAACGTACGGTCAGTTGGTTCGCTTGAATCAGAATCAATTTTCAGTTATTCATTTTTGTATTTTTTTATCAACTTGCTTAGTGTTTACAGTTTACAGTATTCTTAGTTATTTTGAAAACATTAAATTTCTTTAGTTTACGCGTATTTTTAAATATTTTATTAGTTTATTGATATAAGTTATAAGTGACCAGATAAGAAATGAGTCCCAGTAAACGACCAATTTTTTATAGATAAATAATAGTGTATTACTTTATGAGGCGGAGAAGCATGACTTTTCTTGAAGCGGCCGATATTACGCGCTCATTTTGCCGAATAAAGTATACTATTTTTTCTTCAAACGTAGCAATTTTCAACCATAAATAGTACAATTCATACGCTATTTTTACTCGAAATTAACTGTGACAACTATCAAAGTCGTCTAGATGTTAGAAATTAAAATAATTAAGTCGTCGGTGGGATTTGCGTCTCCCTGGTTACAGTTGTTTGACAGTTGTTTGTAATTATTAAAGACAGTTTATTGTTGTTGCAACCGCAAGCGCAAATTTAGTGCGAAAATGGAAAACCTAAACGAAATTGAGTCTGCGGCTAATGATGCAGTAGCACGTTTGGGGCCCTCCAAGTCCGGAATAAAGTATCGGTTAGCGTACAAGCACCTCCAAGAGTGGTGCGATACAAGAGGAGTACGGCAAGTTACCGAAGACGTTTTACTGGCATATTTTAATATGATGGAAAATGAAAATAAATGGAAATCTTCTACAATGTGGTCACGATACTCTATTATAAAATCCGAGTTAGTTATTAGAAAAAATGTAGATATAAGCAAATTTTTAAAGTTACGTGCCTTTCTGAAAAAAAAACAAGCGAAGGATATACTGCAAAGAAGTCTAAAGTTTTCACTAAAGACGAGTTTGATAAATTTTTGTTTGAAGCGCCAGATAAGTTCTATTTAGGATTAAAGGTAAAAAAAATATATTGCAAAGCATGTAGTATACTCTACTAAATTATAAAAATATTTCAGATTGTTTTGTTAATTGAGGTTACCAGCGCCTGTCGATGCGACGAAATGGTAAAAATGAAGACTGGACATTTAGGATAAAGAAAATGTAATAATTATCAAAATCCCAGACAGTAAAACACGACAAATTAGATCTTTTAAGATAATTGTCAAAACTACATTAAACTGTATAAAAAGTATGCATCACTGCGGCCTGAAAATTTGACAGAAAACCGATTTTTATCAAGTACTAAAATGGAAAGTGTTACCGAAGCGTCATGGGAATACACTCGATCAGCGCAGTAACCCAAAAAGTAGCTAGTTAGTTAAATTTAAATGATGCAAACGTATACACCGGTCACTCTTTACGACGAACTTCAGCAACAATTTTAATTGATGGAGGCGGAAATCTAGAATGCCTCAAACGACATGGGGGCTGGAAATCAGGCACGGTTGCCGAAGGATATATACAGGATTCAATAAGAAATAAGAACGACAATGCTCAAAAAATTTTAAACCCTCATGATTCGCCAACATCGGGAATAATTGCTGAAAGTTGTTCTCGACTATCAGTATCATCAACAATTACCAATGCGTATCAAGAGTCGGGAACATTTTTGCACGGTTTCAATTTTGAAAATGCCTCACTAACTAATTGTACTTTTAATATTACTATAAATAAAAATGATGTTTAATTGTTGTTATTGACATTTGTATTGTTGCTTTGTGACATGTTTCATATTGTTGCCATGGCAACATTTTTCCCTCCGCCGTAAAGAAATGGGAAAAAAAACTGCTGCCGGCGGAGACATCAAACTTTGACAGCATCAAGTTAGATAAGTAATGTCATCATTATTTGACGTTTGAAGAAAAAAATATTTTTTGTTTAATTTTTACTAGGCTAATATTAGTTTTCTCTAACAAATAAGTAACTTCTTGAGATCATTTTGAAGCTATAACTGCGAAATTGTTTATTTGTTTGTGACAACAAATTGTAATTTTTTTGAAAATAATATTTTTATGTTATTTTAAATTTATTATAAATAAATACCATGATGTTTTTTGCAGTCACGTTTCACAAATTTTTATTCAATACTATATTTAATTAAGACATATAAATTAAAAATGTGATAATTATTTTTAAAACATTATTTACGATAATCAATCAAAAAAGGTATTCCCGACAAAACTAATTTGAATGGAGAATAATGTATTTGTTGTCATTAAACTACCCGTCGCGTCGGCCGGCGCCACTGAGTAAAGATGTTCTGGCGTAAGCAGTGTAGAAAAGTAAGTGATACGCCCATTTCAAATCACAATGTGCTTTAACTGCTAAAACAGTCTTAAGCATTGTATATACCTAACTGCTTTAATTTGTGAGTTATTCGTGATTTTTTGAGCGAAACATTAATTGTCACAAAAATTAGGTGAAATTTTATTAGGTTGGCCATGAAAAGTACATAATAATCTAGAGTGGTCCTTAATTTGTTAATATTTAATAAGGTATCAAAATATTGTACATAAGAAGTGAAAAGTGAAGTGACGTCATTAAATAATTAAGTAAAATGTAGATTAAGTATACACTTACTTTTCAGGTTGAGTGGAAGCTACAGGTAAAGTGACATTTGTATTTTCACAGCCATCAACTCTTCTAGCAAGAGGAACTGGTGGTTTTGCTCCAAGAGCCATCCACAAAGCCATACCAACCCCAACCACTAAACCACAAACGGCTCCCTAAAACACATCAATGTAATCCATAATCATTTACCAATTTATTTAAATCTCATACATAAATAATTTCAAGTATACAGAGACATCTCAAATATTAATTTTTATTAGTCATATAAGTGGTTTGGCAAAAATTTATATTTTTTGATAAACCGTTATTTTAGATCATACATCGTTTCTAAGAACTACCACAGGAGTATATTAACCCGTATCATGTATTTGTTCCTTATTACTAAATACCAAAGTAAACAATTTTGACTTTAACAAAACACACAGTTTTCGATAAACAATAACCAAACAGTCTGCAGCTAACAATGCAGCAGCTCTTAGGTGTGTTGTCTGGTTCCAGACTACCATTAATATTATAAGTGGAAATGATGCCCTTGACTACACCGGCAACACTAGTTACAGTTTCCCTACAAAAAATACAACTACAATTATGTCCAGTGCTCCAATATCCTACGTTTCAACTGCAATATCAGCTCCAAGACCCGTTTATCTAGACAAAAAACAATGTGTTATCCTACATACAGTAGAAAATCATTTTTATTTGATTATATCAAAGCTATATACGATATAGTCAATCATAAAACATTCATTTCGTCTCTAGAATATCTAATAATCGTATAAGTATTTATTTAAATAGCGCCAAAACCGTTGATTACTTAGTTAAAAACAACACTTTTATTAAAATCAAATAATTTACTGTAGCTGTCAGGCGATTAGTTTCACCAATCAAAAGAATTGCCATCTCATATGTTTGCCCATATATTCCACATGAACTTGTTGAAGCTGCTTTAAAGGACTTAGACTGTCAGCTCGTGTCACCAGTTACCTTCATCAAAGCTGGAGTTCAAGGTGATGAGTACAATCATTTCCTGTCCTTTAGAAGACAAATATACATCATCCCACCGACTGAAGATTATGAACTCAACTCGTTATGAAGATCATGAAATGGAATGTTTCAAATGCAATCCAACTGGACACAGAGCTACTATTGTCCTAAGGATCAAAAAACAATTAACTGACAACTTCCTGTTGCACATTCACCACAAACCGATAACCCTACACAAGAAGATGGCACACAACCCTCATCAAGTCAAATACTTCCACTTATGTCAACTACACGTCAATAAAGATCTCGTCCTAGTTTAATTGATTCAAATGATACACTAACTCTTTGCTACGTAAATTAAAACAAAACAAAACCTGTAAAAAGAAATCAAAAACGAATTCTTCTTCAAATCCGCCTATTTTAGATGATAATTCAAAAACTGTTATTCAGAAAACACTCAAATGCTTTCCAAATAACTTTTTATTCCTATACTATACATTCTATAATAACTGAATAACTGAAAGGTGCCTCAAAACAATGTTTCCCTCAAAAATAAAGTTTCTCGTATAAAAAATAAACTAAAAACCAGTCTCTAAAAAGAATCTAGCGAAATAGAAAGCACAGCTTCAATAGGATGACAAGAATCAATGAAAGAGGAGGGCGTTCTTGACAATACACAGGTATCACAACAAAAATCATAAAAAAATTTACGTTCCTACTAATAGGTGTGTTGGAACTGAGATGGTTTCTATCCTCACCTTGAACAGTTAATAACTAAAACGCAAGCTGACATAATTTGCCTGCAGGAGGTAAATTTTAAGAAATCCTCACAATCGTAAAATTAAGAATGGGATATCACTACTTAAGAAATAATTATCTGAGAGCAAGAGGTGGATCCTCTATTTTCATATATAATAATCTCTCCTCACAAGAATTTCCCTTAATAACTTCTTTAGAAGCAGTAGCTACTACTAATTGGTGTCCCAATAAAATGTCTTTCTGTAATATTTATATACTGCCAAATTAAAATTGATCAGAACGCGAATTAAAAAAACCTTATTAATCAACTTCCTAACCTTTTTAGAGTCAGCATAACTGGATGGAAATTGAAACAAGCTAACTGGAACACCATTCGTATAAACGTTGAAAGTAATATCTACCAATTGGAATTTCCAGAAGAGCTTGAGACTAATCAACATTGTTATTATCTCCAATGCTGAAGCCTATAGGAAAATCTACTGTATCGATGTCCCGAAAAGGCAACCCATGGTGGAACGAAGTGTGCGCAAAAGCTATCCATAAGTGTGAATCAGCACTCAACAAATAAGGCAGGATAAAAATGAATATAACCTTATTTATTTTAAACAACAGAGAGCTGTCTGCAGAAGCCTTCTCAAGACAAGTAACAAATAATCATGGCAAAAATACGTTTCCTCGAGAACCAGCGATACTGATCGTTTTACAATTTGGTCTAAAATTAGGCAAATGCAAGGGGAAAAACTCAAACTAAAATTCCCGCTCTCCAGTATCCAAATTAGTTAGTTAGATCAGCAAGAAATAGCTGACATGTTAATGACACAATTCTTCAAAAAGTTTGATACTAAAAACAACTCGATTACTGCACTACAAATAAATGACAAAAACTTCCAATCCAAGAACTTATTATATGCACATCATTTTTCCAAAAATCCACTGGACAGACTCGTGACTTATTAAATATTTGAAAGACATATGTGTAAAAAATATGTAAAAGTCATGAAAACTAATATTTGATATACTTACTTCTTCGTTCGCCATCGTTGTAAACATTCCCAAGGAAAATAATCCTAGTAGAGGTCCGCCCACTACACCAAATATGGTCAAAGCAGCTTGAAGAAGGCCACCTAAAAATTGCGCTAAAAATGCCACTGCTATGCAAACTGCACCATATACTAACGACAAGAGCTTCAGCTGTACGGCGGAAACTGTTTCCGAAAGAGGTTTCTTACGTATTGTTAGATACAATGGCTAAAAAAGTAACGTACATACTCAATCATTGTTATGTAAAATGATTATTTATATTAAAACACAAAATTAGTAGGCTGGATTATTTGTCGAAATTACATCTTGCCACGTCATCACAGTTTGTCACTCAGTCTACTGAGTTTGTTATAATTTATTCTTCTTCTAGTATCGACTCCACTAATGAAGGTTGGCTAAAACCATTGCAAATCCGTCTCTATCTTGTGCTTTTCTTAAAACTGAAGTATTTAATTAAAATACTAAAATACTCGAGTATGTAATTAGTTTAGAAACCTAAAACTCGTATATGTAACTCGTTTTAATCGCGAATGTTTTTTAGCCAGGATAGTTGTCGTCTACCCGGACCACTTTTCCTTCGATTTTACTTTTCATAACGTTGTCGGAAGCTATCATTCACTGACCAATCAGCGTACCGACAGCACCTCTCACAGGGGCCAAAATTGCCGATTGGCTTTCTGACTGGAAAGTCCAAATCACCACGTCAAAATCCCTGAGAACAATGGAATCTCAGGGATAAAAGAACGCGTTTTTTCAGTCGAGTTTCATCAGCAGTTCGAGTTTCATCTCGTAATCCAAGACTCCTTTTGTGCATTTGATTTTGTGACATTTCTACTCCGTAAATCACACACTTAGTCGTTGCACCCATTTGTTGTGCTATCATTGCTATATTTTTGACTTGTATTAGGTTTGTTCTAGCATCAGTTTCAAATGGTTTGAAACCATCAGCGAATAGTGGACCAGTGCGAGCAGAGGGGATATAGCACTGGTGACTGTATTATTTTCTCTCGCTGACCAACTGTTTGCTGACGGTTTCTGACTAGTTTGTCTGTTTGCTAGAAAAAACCTATTATTTCTAGCGAAATTTCTACTACGTAGACCATACGCTAGAGTAATGCCGATTATATTTCTATTGCTATTTTAATATTGCTTTTTGACTTGTATCGATTCTTGTGATATTTACACGTTGTTGATCAAACACTTGAATTAAATACGCATTATTATTTTATTGCTATTTTATTATTGCATATTTGCTTGACATAAATTCTTGCGGGAGAGCTAGCGCTTGAATTATACCCATTTACTCTGTATTTTGGACTTGTGATATTTCTCTCATCGAGATCATACACTTGGCTCCATTTTATATGTATTCTGCAGACGTGTTTAACCTCTGATTAAGGTTGCACGTAAATTATTACAAATCTCGTGGCGAAATGTAGAGATAAATTCCCATTTACACGTGCAAGTATCATAAAACGTGCCTGTCGCAAGACATACGTAGTACCTTGCCATTCAAATCAAAGGACAACAAGCATGGACACTAGATCCTCCCTACGGTCGAAATGCCAAGTCTGTGGGGTTCTGTGGGACCGAAGAAGCTTCAGACCTTCGGCAACAATAATCAGCTGTAACAACTGTAATTTGCAAACAAAAGTTGTCTGTTAATTCCCATTCTGTACAATACCATTTCGTACGTAATATGATCAATTCACGGTATTTTTAAAAGTCTCCTAAAAGGCCACATTTCAAAAGCGTCTAGCTTTCTCATTAAGTTAACATTAACAGTCCAATTGTCGGCGCCATATAGAAGAATAGAGTGGACATAACATTTTACCATCCGATATCGGATTTGCAGATTGAGTTTTTTTCTTTGTTCCATGATATCCAGTATTTTTTGGGTTTATTCAAGGTTTTCGGCTTTCTTCTTTATTTTGTAGAGTTTCATTCTGTGTATTTATAATAAAATATTTGATTTTGTTCCACATAATATTCACATTCTTAGTTTTTTTGTTTGAAATGTTAATACATTAAACCTCCATACCATCTAATTGCGCTTTTTTGCTCTTCTGTCTCCATCCATGAGATATTTTTATACTCTTTGGAGTAGTTTCAGCTCATTTTGTATATTTTGGCTCTCAGCTGTGTGCATCAAGATCACTATAATAGTTGTTTCGTAGGTTCTGATCTTTTTATTCAAAGTTTTTGTTCTACCTATTAATAAGGGATCCTTTCCTGATGCAATAGTAAATTCTTGAAATACAATGTTGTGCTCCAAAATCTTCGTAGGGTGTGACATTATATATTTCGTAATATATTTCATCTCTTGGTTGAAAACTTGGCTGTTGATTTGAGTGTCACTTTAAAATTGATTATCTACTATACTTAATAGAAATAAACCACAATTTAAATTGAAAATATGTTACCGTTGACGTTTCAATTTCCACTTTCCACGAATTCGTTCTCAAAATAGAAATCGAGTACTAAAAAGTACTTCAAATCGAGTACTTCAAAAATAGTGGAAATCTAAACCTCAAATATAAAGTGTGACGACACAATAATTGTTTAAAATATTTACAAAACAAACTTACTTTGATATAATCCTCCACCGTAATGGCCGCCAAACTGTTTAATGATGCAGAAATTGTAGACAAAGATGCACTAAATATGCCAGCCACAAATAATCCGGAGAGCCCAGGAATATCTCCCATTGTATCAACTACGTAATATGGTAACAACTAAAAATGAGTTAAAAATAAACAAATTGCATTATCAAATTATACTTAACGAATATACAGGGTATATAATACATCTTACAGCGCGTTAATACTATACTTGTGTTAATGACATTTTATGTCTGCTTATTACGGAATGTAACGGTTGCATCTCTAAACGGCTTCGAGAACCATCCAAAGATCTCTCGAACGCAAGAAAATCCATGCGTTAAACAGCGAATTAGAGGTGGGACTACTTTAAATAATTCTAGAATAATACTTTTGGTATATATATGTAACGATGTTATGAGTTAGTTTGGTTGTTAAGATATTACCGAACTGTAAACTTATAAATAAATATATTTATATAAATTCGAACCGCTCGTTTAATTTAATCTCGCTACAGTTGGTGTTACGGTGTGGGAAAAAAATAAATTCAGCAGTGACTTTTGAAAAAGACTTTTGAAAAGTATTGTTCGTCAGGAACATCCGCGTAGTTCGGTAGCGATCTTTGTACGAAAGAACGTTTAAAAAGTACGTGTGTGCCTGACCAAAAATGCGGCTAGTAGAACTTTTAGTGAAACAATTGCGTGAGCAACTAGAAGAACGCGATGAAGACTGCAGCGGGTCCAAAAAGATACTCCAAGGACGACTGAAGACTGTTCTCAACAAGAATGGAGACGACCCAGAGACATTTCAGGTTCAATCAGCAGAAGAAGCCGTTTTACTAAAATAATTGATGGAAAATTTGAGAATGTCTCGCAAATGATCGAAGAGAGTTTTAGGAAAAATGATGAGAATGTTTCCAAAAGATTATGTATTAAGAATGAGATTAAGAATGAGAAGTGCATACATTTTTGTGAAAGTACTAAAAAGTATACCTAATGAATGCTTAGTAAGTTTCCAAATTTACATGTAAAAATACTAAGGAACGATTTGTATATTGTCATGTAAATGCTAATGACCCTTACTGGTCGAAGCATCCTTTCTAAATAAAAAAAAATAAATAGTATTTGATCATAGCTTACCTGATCAGCAGAGTTGATACGTTTCGATAAAACTGGATCACAGTTATAATATCGGGAAAAAATTACCAGTCCCGAAAATGATGTGCTTAGACTAAGGCAAGTTAAAATCGGCCAATTCCACCATAATGCTTTTTGAGCAGTTTTTAAGTCTTTGACTGTCAAGTATCTCTGAACTTGCGTCTGGTTTACCCCGTACAGAGAAAGAAACGTTACACCTCCACCGAGGATTAAAGTAAACCATGAATGCCTTACAGTGGGGTCAGGGCTAAAACTATAAAGAACATATTATAACATAATATATATATATATATATATATATATATATATATATATATATATATATATATATATATATATATATATATATATATATATATATATATATATATATATATATATATATATATATATATATATATATATATATATATATATATAATATTTTAAGGGCTACCATAAAACCAGAATCAATAGGAGTATTCAAAAACATCTAAACCCCATTCCATTAAAAAAAAAACCTTGCCGCCTGATCAATCCAAAATATTTCTACCTTTTATTAAAGGTATCGCTGACAAGATCAGTAGAACTCTTAACCGTTTAAACATCAAAACCGTATTCACCACTCACTGCATGTTGTACAATCTCATCAGATCCTCATAAGATCAAATCCCCATGAAAGACCATGGTCTCTAGGAGCTACCGTGTTCCAGTTGCTCACGTACATACATTAGACAGAAAAACGACGAATCCATAACCCTATTTACGAACATTCTATATCTGTAAAACATTCCGATACTACTTCAGCCCTAGACCAAAATCATATTTAGACAGGCCACAAAATAGATTTCGAAAAAGCAAAAACCATCGCCCCCATCCGCTCTTAAAATCAAGAATCATTCGTGAAGCCATCGAAATTGAAAAACAGCTTAAGCAGGCGCGATGACGACAAACGACTGCCTACAACATGGCGACCGCTCCTTCAGCAACCCCCCATCCCATCAGACATCCCATCAGACATCAATCTCAGACAAAGAATTATCACATTGGCATTCCTTGGTATTTATTACATGCTGATGATGTAATTTTACTTAAAAATAGGTAAAAAACAAGTTACACAATTTCTGAAAGAAATTGGTTTAACAATTAGTAGGAGAAAAATAGAAGACCTATCTAGAATGATAATTTAGAGATGGAGTTACTACTACCAATAAGGTAATAACTTTGCGTGTACACAGTACAGTAACGGGTGAATGGTGTGTGACAGGACGATCCCAATGAAGTAGACAGGAAAAGGCTTTATGGTACTGAATATAAGACAGCTAAGAATGGTTTTGAACCTATTTTCTTGTGGCATATTTAAACACAGATATTTTTTGTATGGGATGAAACCACAATTAATAGGGAAGTTAAGTTAATTCCCGAGTTCGAAAACAGGCGAAAGTACTTCTTTAGCATAATTGAAACGGGGTAGATATGAATAATTTCATAAGAGCACATATAGCATAACACATATACAGTAAAAATCGATATCACTTATCTATATGTTCATCCATGGGTATTTCAATTAAAAATTATAAAGAATAATTTCCAAAACTAAACTTACTTCAGCAAAGTTGTTCTATTGTGTTGCTCTGCTATCCTCCAGATTTCCGCTAAACTTCCTTTTTCGACCCAACCATTAATAATCACACAGAATATGGCAGCAAACATAAGCAAAGATTGAAATACATCTGTGACTAAAACGGCCTTCATTCCTCCTATTGTAGAGTAGAACGTGCAAACAATACCTAAAAATAATTTTTATTAGCTTATCAGTGCATAATAGATGATAATATAAGGAAGAACGCCGTCAAAACTTGTGAAGATCAAGTTTTAATTTGCGTAAAAAAATTATTCAATAATGACAAACAACATGGAGTATTTAATTTTTAAAGATAACTATTCGTTTATATAACAGACAGATAAAGCCGCTGTCAAGAGCGGTTGGTTTCGTTGTAGTCCGAATTTTCATCAAATTCGTAGTTTTTCCATTTCTCGTCTTTTATTATGGAAAAATATGTAATATTGTAGCAGCCCAATGTATAGTTACAGTTTTAAGTAAGGTTTGGAAGAGATTTTGTGGAGACAACACGCGGCGAGTGTCGGCGTTAAGAAGCCGGCAAATTTGTTGAAAAAAGTGAATTATACTCAATGTAATGTGCCACTTTTGAAACAGTATTCACTGTGTTTTATATTCCATGCCGTCTTTCATCTGAGATATTGGTAAAAAAGCGTTTACAACAAATTTCAAAGATACCCAGATAGTTTCAGAAATGTTTAAGGAATAAAACAATGTGGGTAGTCCTGAAACAAGAACCCAGATAACACTACAAAGGAAGATCTTAAGAGAAAGATAACGAATGTTGACTCAGAAATACTCCCTAACATAGAATCCTTCGAAAAAAAACAAGCTATGGCACAACTAAAGGACAATAAGACTCCGGGCCCAGATGGAATACTTGTAGAAATGTTGAAGGAGGGGAGTGAAATTATTCTCGAAGAATTGAAAAAATTTTTCAACGAATGTCTTCACAGAGGAGAAGTCCCAGATGATTGGAATGAAAGTTTGACAATACTTCTCTTCAAAAAGGGAGACAGGGGAGATATGAAGAACTATAGGCCAATCTCTCTGCTGTTCCAAATATATAAACTGTTTATGAGAGTAATAACTAACAGGTTAACGTCGAAGCTCGATAGCTATCAAAGGGTAGAGCAGGCAGGATTCCGAAAGGGTTACAGTACATCGGATCATCTTCTTACAGTCAGAACTCTAATAGAGAAAGCCAATGAATATCACTTGAACTTATACATTACCTTCATTGATGATGAAAAGGCATTCGACTCTATAGAACTTTGGGTAATAGAGAGAGCTATGAACAACTGCAGGATAGACTCCCGATACAGAATACTCATACATAATATTTACAAGAAAGCTACAATAAAAATACAAATAGATGCGAAAACCAAAGCTATACCAATCAACAGAAGAGTTCGCCAGGAAGATGTTATCTCACCAAAGCTATTCACACTTGGACTGGAAGATGTGTATAAAAACATTAACTGGGCAGATAAAGGAATAAATGTTAATGGAAGAAAACTAAGTCATTTAAGATACGCTGATGACATTGTAATATTCGCTACAAGTTTCAAAGAACTACAGACCATGATGACGCAACTATTTCAAGCTTCGGAAAAAGTAAATCTTAAGATGAACTTGGAAAAAACAAAAATAATGACAAATACACCAAACATTAGAGAAATAACGTTGAACAACATAAATTTAGAAACAGTAAGCAAATACATCTACCTGGGACAGATAATAAAGGTTAACAAAGAAAATCAAACTGCCGAAATTACCAGAAGAATAAGTTTAGCGTGGGCAGGATTTGGAAAACTGAGTTGGATCTTGAAAAGCACTACAATAGAACAATATTTTAAAACCAGAATTTACGATCAGCGTATCCTCCCTATACTCATGTATGGTTCACAGACTTGACACCCACCAAGTCTAATATGAATAAAATAGTAAAAGCACAAAAAGACAAAAAAAACAAACAAATGGAGCAAAACCAAAGTAAAAGACGCAGGAGAACATGCTGCCAAATTAAAATGGAGCGTCGCAGGACACAATGCCCAACTAAAGGATAAAAGATGGAATGGATAAAAGATGGAACACGAAATACAACAATGAAGACCATGGTTAGGAAAGAGAAGCAAAGGAAGCCCACAAATGAGATGGGCGGATGATATTAAGAAGATCGGAGGACACAACTAACAATTTAAGATGGACATTACAAAGCAATCAAACAATAGCCCTGAAGCAATATCCTTGAAAATAAAATCAATAAATTTATTTTTGCATCTGCCTTGTGCCAACTTTTTGAATTTTTCTACTCTCGCCCTGACTCTGATTTTTTTCTACTATGTACTATCATGAGCAGGTGGTTTTGGTCGTTTTGACGCCAAAAGTTTTGGAGATTATTTTGAAATTTTTTATTACTAGTTCTAGTGGGTATATACTTACCTACAGATAAAATGGCTGCTAGCTTGCTTATACCCGTAAGAGCTTCTAAGACTAAGGCGGGTGCGTATAACACTACTCCCATATATAAAGTCATTTGTAGAGTATATGACAAAGAAGCTGCCAGTCTTGCAGTTTTGCCAAATCTCCTTTCTAAGTACTAAAAAGACATTTAATTAATTAAATGAAATCAGAGGCTTCTATCATTTTTTCGCGTCTGGACCGTGTCTCTTTTAGACTTTCTGAATGTTGGAGGGCACTTACAGTAAATCAAATATAAAATGTATAAAGAGGTGAAACATGAACCTCAGTAAATTATATCTAAGTGCTTTTAGTGCTTGAACTCTAACCCCGCGCTGTTGGTTTTCATCACTTCTGTTTTTGAGTTATCGTAACTAATAGATTTTCCCAGCTCCTGAAGAAGTTCCCTATGAGGTTAGCGAGACGTTGAGATCCATCACATTAAAGTCGTCAAAAAATGACACGGTCCAAACTCAAAATAAATATGATTAGTCTATTCTTAAGTATAATTCACACATCCATAGAACAATGCTTTTCTTATGGGCAATAAACGCACAATAAGGTTGTCGGCTTCGCAGGTTCTTGATTGCTCACTCAAGAGAGCAGCACAGGACCGGCTTGGATAAAATGCATCAGTAGAAAGTGCCTCACTTCACCCCACTTTCACATTTGATCCCATTTTTTGGTAGAAACGAGTATTATGTTAGGTGTACGTCAGATTACGTTAGGTGTGCGTCAGATGACGTTAGGTGTATTCGCTGTGAGCCGATGAGTAGAGGGGATTTGACAGTTTTCACCAACGCTGTTAGTGGCAGTTTTGTGCATTTAACTTGTAAACATTCAAATAATGGCGAATATGGATTTTTCAAAAAGAAAAAGATATGATACATGTAAAAATACTGGGTACAACAGTCATTGTAAATTTTATTTATTTCCTGTTGCCAAGCATAAAATAGTTCAAAGAGAAAAATGGATTATTGCTATCAACGAGAAAAATAAGTAAATAACCTATAATGCAAACATGATATTTGTATGGTGTAAAATTAAAAAGCTATTATATTCCGAAACATTGCGTACATGCCCTGCATCAACTAAACCTTTTCCTTTTTTTGGTGTAGCTGGTTGAAATGGGATATCATGTGATATAGACTTAAAACCAGTATAATGTTTAATATCCATTTTGATAAAATTAAAACAAATTTAAGAGGTGGAGGCCATAAAACGAAAGAAGAAGAAGAAGAATTAAAACAAATTGATATCTAAGCACTAAGGCCTACGCACACAAAAAATAACTGAGCAAAAATAGAATAAAAATGTAAAATAAAAACAAGAATTACAACGTTATAGAGGTAAAGGTAACCAGAATATAGACGTTTTAAGCGTCTATAACCTTAAATATTTGCTTTAACCATTAAATATTTTCATATAAACTTCTTCTTTTTCTCAATGACCTCTTGCGTAAGTAGTCATCCAGTCGCCAGAACTTATACCTATCTTAAATATTATAATTATAATGAATAAAATAACAAGGCGTAATTACTTTTACTATTAATTCTGTGTATTCGTTCATTAATCAGTTTACCATAATATTTCAGTATATTATTTTGTATTTTTAAATAAATATCTATTTTTCTCGTTTTGTCATATTTCATTTACACTGATTTTACCAGAAAAGTACAAGTTTCAAACCGCGAGAGAGCGCTACCGGCGAAACTCACAGCGAATATCAGGCCACGTACGATTTTAAATGTCACGTAATTCGATTTAATGTGACCTGACTTACACCTAACGTCATCTGACGCACACCTAACTTGATTTGACGTACACCTAAATATTTAATCAAACTAGTTTGAGCAAACTGATGTAATGATGTCATAATTACGCTTTGTTCAAATTTTAAAAACCTACCTGTCACACCATCATTCAAATTTGATCAAATTGACGTATGTGGAAATTAATTGTCTTTTTTGCTTATTTTATTAGTTGCTTAGGCTTTATTTACGATTTTAATTTTTTTTATACACAAGGAAAATAAATAGGGTGAAAGTATTTTTATAATAATATAGATGTTTGACATTATATAAACAGATTTTTTCTCGGTATAAATCAATTATGTAGAAACTTGTTCCTAACTGCAAGATATTTAAAAATTTTATTTTTATTTTATAACAAAATAGGAAGAAAAATAAACCACACATTGTCAACCAAAGAGAAAAAGAAAATTAATTTAAATACGTTATGTCTAACTGCTGACTGTCATTTGACTTTAGATATTTTTTGACCAATCAAAATTAAAGTTTGATCAAACTGGCCTTGAAAATAGAAGATCCTCTATTTTTAGATGATTTGATCAAACTCAGGATGTGCCGTCATACGCTGTCAATTTTTTGGTTTGGTCAAACTAGTTTGATCAAATATTTGACCATCTGACACGGACTTAACATGTCTCCAATAAAACATAGGGTCAAATGTCAAAGTGGGGTCAAGTGAGGCCCTTTCTACTACTAGATATAATAGTAAATATAAATAGGCGGAAGATCCGACTTCCGGTCCAGTCTGTAGACCATCCCGAAAGATACATTCCTTCGCTCGTGTGTTGTTTGAGGATTTGTTATCAGCGATCCGTGGGCGGACAATAGAATCTTTATAGTTCTATATAAGTGACGGATGATGTTATCTTGCTAATCCTATATAAGTGGCGGACGATGGGATCTTCCTACGTAGGCGGAGGATTGGATCTTTCGGACCGGTCTACAGCGGTTTTGCATCTCCCGGCAGTAACAGTATTTTTTACTCGTATTATGTATACAGTAAAATGAAAACACATTGTAAAAGTTGTCGTGAAAAGACCAGGCAGGTTTCACAGCGGGGAAAGCATGCTTAGATCACATTTACACGGTCGAACAACTAATAAAAAAAAGAATGGCCAAAAATAGATCCGTCCATCTGGCTTTTGTTGATCTTAAGAAGGCATATGACTTAATACCTAGAACCAAGCTCAAGACCGTGAACAGTTCTGTTTGCTATTGCTATGCGTCTTTTTATTTCGTCGCTTGTCATGTTTGTTGCGTTTACTAGCGATCCAAGATATATAAATTATTTTACTTGCTCAAAGGTACAGTTGTTAATTTAAATTCTCTGTTGGATATTTTGGGGGTTTTTAGAAACCAACATATATTGGGTTTTTTCCTCGTTTACCACAAGTCCTAATTCACTTGCTGCGTCCGCAAGCCTTGTAAAACAGTGCACCATGTCTCTCATACTTCTGCCTAATATAACTATATCGTCAGCGAATGCGAGAATTTGCGTCGATCTATTAAAAATAGTTCCATTCATTCTAATATTTACTTGTCTGATTGCCTTTTCCAAGGCAATATTAAAGAGGAGACATGCCAACGCGTCCCCTGTCTTAGACCATTATTAATATCAAAGAACGTAGAGTTTTCTTCTTCAATGCTAACGCATGAGCTTACGTTTTGCATTGTTAGTTGGGTTAACTTAACAAACTTATGTGGGATCCCAAAGTCTATCATTGCATTATATAATGCAGTTCTTTTCACACTGTCATAGGCTTCTTTAAAGTCGACGAAGAGATGGTGTGTCTATGTTATTTTCTAGTGATTCTTCCAGAATCTGCCTTTATCTTTGGATTTGATGGAACTCTAGTTGATAACCCTTTTTATGCAACGGACATATACCAGCCACTCTTCTGGTACCAATTCATTCTGCCATATAAGTAATATTAGTTTATGGATTGCCTGGATTGTTGCATAAAGTTGATCACTACTCTTTTTATACATTTCCGAACAGATTTCATCGATTCCTGAAGCTTTATTGTCTTTCGAGTTTTAGGATGGCATTTGACACTTCTTCTCTTGTTGGGTCTACACTGTGTAGTTAGGCACTTAATGTTGACCAATCAAAAAAGAAAGGAGATAAAGAAAAATTAAAGAATATAGTATGGAAGGCTGTTGTGTAATTTCCAAAGACATGCGTAAATTTGAAGGCAATATCTACATAGTTAAAGTTTTGGTATAAAAATTTTATTAATCCTAATAAAAATCTAAAGAAATAAATTCATAATAGTACAATAAATGTTTGTTTATTTTTTTAATCACAGAGGTTTTTAAGATATGCTATTTTTGCATACCTTGAATACGATACGTAAGAATTTGTTAACAAAGTATTTCGTAATAAAGAGTTAACATTATATTAATACATACAAGTCTTGTGTAGATATAAAAATGATTCATTACACTTAACTTAAAACACCTTTTAACTTTTATCTTAAAAGATACAAAGTTCTGTGATTTTTTAAAGCTACAACTTTTACTTTTTGTTACAGATTTGTTTATGTAATACAGAGTATTAGTAAGCAAAACCCAACAACCACCACAGCAACTGATATTAGACAATGAAAGAATTCAACACGTGGATTCGTACATCTACTTGGAAACATCAGTTAACTCAAATTGGGATCAAGCAAAGGAAATACGTATAAGAGTAGAAAAGGCAAGAGCATCGTTCACTAGCATGAAGCAAATTTTCACCTCTAAAAACCTCACCCTACCTCTCAAAATTCGACTTCTGAAATGTTATGTATTCCCGGTTTTGTTATATGTAATGTAAAAAGTAGAGGCCTTCGAAATGTGCGCTTACCGACGTATACTACGTATATCCTGGACTCAGCATGTGACCAACGAAGAGGTACTACGCCGGATAGGTAAAGAGAGAGAGGTAGGAATAAGTATAAAGAAAAGAAAGTTGGAATACTTGGGTCATGTTATGAGACATAATAAATATAGAGTACTACAGCTGATCGTTCAAGGGAAAATAGACAGCAGAAGGGGTCCAAGGAGGAGAAGACACTCGTGGCTCCAAAACTTGCGGCAATGGTTCGGATTGTCATCTGCTGAACTATTCAGATCTGCCGTAAACAAAGTCAGAATAGCCATGTTGATTGGCAACGTTCGGAATGGACAAGGCACATGAAGAAGAGAGTATTTACAAAGCACTTATAACGTTGTTCTAGGCGATTTGCAATTTAACTTTAAAACTATAAAACAAAAAGTTTTATGTAACTCATATACATTATGAATCTACATACAGATACAGTATAAATCCCGATGCATGTCATCCTCGTCATAGTACGTGACGTCACATGGTACCATACAAAATATTTAAGTCGTAGGGCTGTTCCTTTTATCATCTTTAAGCCAAGTAGACTGGAATTACAACCACTAGAAATATTTTATTATATACGCGTAGAGATAATATTTGAACATTTTTATTGGTATAAACTTAAAGAAATACACGCAAACTTGTTTTATTTAATTTGTATAAGGGGATTATAAAGCGTTTTTATGAATCACACTTGTCCGGATCACACTTTAATTGCGATCGAACTGAGGTGACATTTCAGCATAAATTCTTCTTCTTTTAGTGCCGTCTCCACTAATGAAGGTTGGCTATAACCATTGCAAATTCATCTCTATCTTCTGCTTTTCTTAAGAGCGTCTGTGAGTTTAAACCGGTTCAGTCGAGAATGTTTTTCAGCCAGGATATTTGTCGTCTACCAGGACCCCTTTTTCCTTCGATTTCCTTCATAATCAGCTGCAATAACTCGTACTTATCATTTGTAAGTATGTGCCCCAAATATACTGTCTTTCGCCTTTTAATGTTGGTCAAAAGTTCTCTGTCTCTTCCCATCTGTGCAACATCATTTCGTTCTTAATATGATCGGTCCATGAGATCTTCATCCTAAATCTCCTAACTATAATTCTTTTAAAAAGCCACATCTCAAAAGCTTCCAGTTTTCTCATTACGTCAACATTAACAGTCCAGGCTTCGACACAACAAAGAAGAATATAGTAAATATAACATTTTAATGTTCGGCATAAATTGGTTGATTGATTGGAAATTGATTTATTCGGCATAAATTGGTAACACGTATTTAACAGTTGCGATATTAACACTACAGATTTGTTTTTATTATTTACTCTTAATTAAACTATCTTCTTTTTAAAACAAAATGAGTGTGATTTAATTCCAAAATGTCACATAAGAAGTTAAATAGTCGTTGGAGTAGTCCATTACACGATTATTTTCTAATAGGTGTAGTTTTCACCCCTAAAAAACAAAAAGATACGACACAAGTCCAAAAGTGAAGTTGAGCGTAAATACAACCCAAATATCAATTTTCATGCAATTCGGTGTGACTTGGTAACAAGGCAAATTACAGGGGATCGAGGTATTTCACTTCATTTACTGGCCTATAAGTAATGAGAAAGAGCAGACCATCGAGCAAAAAGACAAAAGAGGAAATGTAAAGGTAGTGGGGGCAAAAATATTGTTAGACAGAAAGTGCTCTTTAGAGGACACATTAAACAAGGAAAGAGAGTCTCTCTCCTTGTTTGACATCAAATTTAGTTGGGTTATGTTATTGTTTGTCCCAAATGTCACATGAAATCTTATTTAAATTGAAGTTTTTTAACAATTGTGTCGCATTTTACACTATTATCGTTAATAATTATTTAAAACTTTCTCGTCTAAGACACATTCTGAAAAATATTATACAGCTACTGTTAATACGTGTCGAAAAATTTAAATTTGGCGCATTCGCATTTCCGAATATGTCCGCCATCAGACGCCACTTTTTTTGTCTCCTTTTCATAAGGATTAGATTCCCTCTTTTGTCTTTTTACTCGATGGAGCAGACTAAGCTTGCAGCGTTGCCAAATGTATCCATTGTGTATTAATTTCTTGGAGTTCCAAGAAGTATAGTTGTATAGTTCCATGGACGTATAAACACAGATGGACTCAGTTATTTACATAAAATTGTGAAGTCAAAATTATTTGAATAGGTCACATTCTCAACACCTTCAGCTGTTGTCATGTTTTGTTTTAAAATTTCTTATTCGCGAGTCGCTGAAAATATTACTCCGTATTTTATACTCTACAGGTGTTAACAAACCAAAATAAAAATTTATTGGTTAGATTAATATATTTAATTGTAATCAAAATATAAAGTGTGCACATAGTGTGCATTATGATTTAATAATAACGTATAATTTAGATATCAATCAATTATTTTATATGTAGAAGCACTGAAAACTATTTATAAATGGCAACGGTTGTTTACATTTCTCTGTCTTATGGATCTACGTCAAACTTCAAAAGCTGTTCCATGTTTGTTTACTTTTTAGTAAAAGTTGTTTTTCGATATTTTGGCTGTATTTTGAGTGATATTTGTGAAAAGTGAAATAAAATAAACGAAATATTTACATCCCGATCTCTCATTTCATTTGTAAGTACATAAAATTTACATTATTTAAGATGAGGAAATGAGGAAGCGTGTTTGTTTACATTTCAATAGGCGTACCATTGGGTTTATTCATGTTCATTAATGTATTAAATAAGATATAAGTTCATGAAATTAGTAGACATTTTAAAATTGTAAGTAGACATCATCTGATTAAAAAAGATCTATATAGTACCTTTTTAATTTAATATTTCTCATGGATGCAAATAAATTAGTGAAATGAATAAAACTCATTTATTTTTCTATGTAGGTTTCCAAATAATATTGACGATCGAACTATTTTGGTAGCAAATTTAGGAGAAAACATAAAGATTTTTTATTGTAGCATTATTTTGATACCTATTAAAAATTAACTTGAATTCAACTATATTTTATTGTATTAATTTTAAAGCAAATAAAATTGTATTTTAATTTTTCTATAAAGACGTGATTTGTTAATAGTTAAACTCTCGTTTTTTTAAATTCTTTGAACGTGTTTTTATACATTATTACTACTTCCAATTTTTAAAATCTGAATAATTACCCGCGAGTAATAATTCAAGCACGCTTATGCTCATTGCGGAAGCATCACATTCTATCGAAGCTTCAAAACATTGTGTGTTAATAGTATATTACATAACGAGAGTTGTAAGAAGCTTATTACATGCGAGTAAAAAAGTTGCGCGCGAGCCGCGTAGCGGCGAGCGCAGTAATTTTACAAGCATGTAATAAGCTTACAACTCAAGTTGTGTACTATACTTTTTCTACCATTATTTTCGTTTATAAAAATAAAAATTAAATTACCACTACATTTACACTGACAGATTAATAATTTTTAATCTGTCAAAATAACGTCTTTTAATTCGTTTCCATGGTAACTCGACCAACTGACTTACGAGGCCTATGTGATATTACACATTTTTATAAAACTGAAGCGTAATTTTTTTTATTGCGTGCTAGTCATTACGTGTCAGTATCTGTTATGATGCATTTACTTTGCATTCAAATAGTAGGTAATATACAATTTACTAGTAAGAGAGTAGAAAAAGGTATCTTATTGCTGTGTCCATCTATGTTTATACGTCCATGTATAGTTCTAAATCAGGCAGTAAAAAAGCGAATGAAAAACAACAGTTAATAGGTATTTAATAATAGCATTCTAACTTTCGTCTAATAGTCTAATTGGTAAATGGTAGGGTGCAATTTGTTTTTAAGACAAAAACATATTATTTAAATCTAAAACATATTTTTGACATACATAATACCAAACAAACGTAAAAATATGCCTGTCTAAATTTTAGCGTTTTCTTATACAAATACGATTGACTTCGGCACTACTGCAAATTGATTCCAAATATTTTAAGGTACATACCTCATAAGCACTGGTGGCTTGTAATTTGAAAAATACTGGTAGGTAATAATATGCTGCAATAAACGTAAAAATTCCATAAGAAAAATTTATAACAATAAATTGTATTCCATAGGAATAATTCTCACTCGATACTCCTAGCAGAGTAATAGCCGACATAAACGAGGCCATTAATGAAAAGGCTACTGGTGTAATGGACATATTTTTGTCTGCTAACAAATATTCCTAAAACAAAAAAAAGTAACGATATTATGAATTGTTAAGTGCTATATTTGGTCAGTACTTTTGTGTGGGAGTAGAAGTGTGGGCATTAGAAGTATAAAGTATGAACAGAATTGAAGCATTGGAAATGTGGATTCATAGACGGATTCTGAAGATATCTTGGACAGCAAGAAAAACTAATAAGGAAGTAAAAAAAAGAGGTTAGTCTTCGTAAATGGGTATATTTATTTAAAAACCCTTAAAAGGGCTACATCAAAAAAACAAACGTTTTCGGACTAAACAGTCCACCATCAGGTTTAAAATTGCTAGGTTAAAATGCCTGAGCCACCAAAATACTAGGGTAAAAACCCTTTAAATTACATGTAGTTATTAAAGATTGTGCATATTGTTGTTATAAAACTGTGATGTTAAATATTAAATTGAATTTGACTTCAGGTAACATGCTTGAAGTGAGTTCCAGTGTCCGGAGAGTAAACCTCTTCAAACGGACTACAGCTGGTAACTGATTGACAAGATACCTATGAACGGTGTCGAAAACAAAATGTCAATGTAACATGAAACTATATTATTTATACATAGTATTACTGCAGCCAAAAGATTCAAAAATTTTTTTTTCAATGATATTAAAAATAATAACAGCAATCCAGGTATTGGGATTTAAAAACTTTTTATTTATTAATGTAGGGTATAAAAGATATGGAATTACCGTTGGTGTTAAAGTCATGTTTAAGAGAATGCACATGTCATTCTCTTAAACATGACTTTAACACCAACGGTAATTCTACATATTTTATACCCTACATTAATAAATAAAAAGTTTTTAAATCCTGTAACTACATGTAATTTAAAGGGTTTTTACCCTGGTATTTTGATGGCTCAGGCATTTTAACCTAGTAAGTATAACCATTTTTGCTTTTTAACCCTAGTCAAAATTTTAAAAAACCATGTTTGCTTTAACTAAATTATTTATACTTATTTTAGGCAATTTTAAACCTGATAATGGACTGTTTAGTCCGAAAACGTTTGTTTTTTTGATGTAGCCCTTTTAAGGGTTTTTAAATAAATATACCCATTTACGAAGACTAACCTCTTTTTTGTGATACGTGGTATACAGCCAGCTACAGGAATTGTTTTCCTTGTGGATTTTAATAAGGAAGTAGTAAGTATGGTCAACAAAGATAGAGATTGCTAAAGACTGTTCAAAGCTTGAAAATGTCTAATCTGGGATATATAGTGAGGGGAAATCGATATAGAATTCTACAACCGGTCCTTAGAGGCAAAATAGAAGGCCGTGGAGGTGTAGAGAGAAAACCGGTTTCTTGGTTAAAAATTAAGCAATTTATATAACGAAAACAACACAGAAAAGTACTGGCAAAACTAAACATATCTAAGGCACAATTTTAATTAAAAGTATACAATTCTTAGCAATAAATATTAAACGTTGAAAACCTACATATTTGTCTGTCTTGTTTGATAGAATTGTTATTGTATTAGTGTATTATGATTAAAGAAACGTCCAAGAATTTATTGTTAATAATATTTCGAAGAAAAATATTTTTAGACACTCTCTTAGCATAAATATAATCATTAATAACACTGGAAAACAAATGTTTTGTCCTATGTATTATTTCGTCTAATATTTCTTATTAAATTGTTCTTGTTCCTTATTCTATTTTCAACAATGAATTCAAGGTATCACCGCAATACGAACTATACAGACGAAAATAGTACAAATGTACAGCAAGCAGTAAGTAATTTCACTAACACACGTATCAGTGAGGCTCATTCACTGATTCATACCAAAAGACATACAATGCTAGGAATCCGGAACATGCATACTATATCTGTATATTGTTCTGAAGCTATTTTCTTGTGGCATTGTAAATTAATTACTATTTATAACTGGGAATAAGCCACAATTAAAGATAAAAAATACGTTTATTGACGTTTCAATTTCCAATTCGGAAATCGTTCTCAAAATATAAACAGTAAATTAAACAAATTTTGTTTTTTGTTACATAGTAACAAATATTGGTAACCTTTCAATATTGGTAACCAGATCCTACTACATTCTGCCGAGGAATTTGCGACACAATTGGCCTCATTTAGCATAATTAGAGCCGCTTCTTTGATTTTTCTTTTTTTACCATCCGTTTCTTTTAGGACTATATTTGAATTATTCCATTGAACCCTATGTTCATTATCCCATGCGTGTTTACATATTTGAGATCTATCAAATTCTCTATTTTTAATATAAGATTGATGTTCACTTATTCTAACATTTAATGGCCTTGATGATTCACCTAAATAAAACTGATCGCATTCACAAGGTATTTTATAAATGCAATTCTTTGTCCTTTCTTGTTCATTGTTAGGTTTGGTTTTGGACAAAATAGATCTCAACGTGTTTGTTGTTTTGAATATTGTTGAAATGTTGAATTTATTTCCTATCCTTTTAAGTTTTTCTGATAATCCTTTTATGTACGGTATTGTTATTTTCCTCATATTATTCCTTGTGTATGCTGTAGGATCTCGTTCTAAGTTGTTCTGTTATATTCGATCGATTGTTGAAAATTCCTTATTTATAAACGATAAAGGATAATCATTTTTTAATAAAACAGATGTTAACAAATGTTTCTCCTCCAAGAACGAATTTTCGTTAGAGCAAGTAATTTTGGCTCTATCGTATAAGGATTTAATTATTCCCTTTTTTACATTAATATTATGATTTGATTTGAAATTTAAATATCTATTGGTGTGTGTTGGTTTTCTATATACCTGAGTCTCATATCCAGTATCGTTCTTAGAGATTAAAACATCCAGGAAAGGTAGCGTGTTATTATATTCCTTTTCCATGGTAAATGTTATTGTCTCTTCTTTATCGTTTATATCATTTAGGAATGTGTCCAACAACTCTGATCCATGAGGCCATATTGAGAATACATCATCTACATACCTCCACCATACTGTGGGTTTGAAATTTTGTTTAGAAATGATATTTGTTTCAAAATCTTCCATAAATATATCGGCTAAGAATGGAGATAAACTAGAGCCCATTGCTAGACCAAAATTTTGTTTATAGAATTCATTATTTAGTTGAAAATATGTATTATCAGTACATAATGTTAATAACTCCATTATAGCCGATATGTTTAGTCTTGTTCTAGTTGCCAATGAATCATCACTCTCTAATTTTCTCTTGACTATACTTAAAGTCTTATTTAATGGCACATTCTTATTTAATGGATATTCTCAAGTTAAAGTTGATTTTATGTAATCGAATGAACTATCTTATAAGTAAAGTCGTCCCAGGAGCGCAACTCAACAATATTGGCAATATCATTTTAAAGTCGTCTACTTTAAAATGCATAATGTATGTCTGAATTGTCAATATAAATGAGTCAGATAAAATTAAAGTATTAGAAGAATTTTTTCACTATGTAACAAAAAACAAAATTTGTTTAATTTACTGTTTGTATTTTGAGAACGATTTCGGAATTGGAAATTGAAACGTCAATAAACGTATTTTTTATCTTTAATTGTGGCTTATTCCCAGTTATAAATAGTAATTACTATATCTGTCTGGTGATATTTTCCTTCGGGTTCAGAATATCAGAATATTTTCCGAGTTTCTGTGCATATATTTGGCTGTACGTAGTAATCTCCTTCTTTAAGGTCTTGATCTTGAAGACACACACTATGTATAAGATATATATCAAGGTATCAAACTTATAGTATAGTTACGTAAAAATTAGTCATATTAAAATAAACCTGTAAACATGTTGTTTATTTTACTAAATATGTTGTAGAATGGACGAGATCTTTCGATCAGCTGGCAGACATATACCTGAAACGGCCGTTCGAAGTTTCCAGAGAAACCGGTCGAGTGATGACTCGGCCTAGAATTATCAGAGGGATTCTCCTGAACTCTCGAATAGCTGTATTTTCATATATAATGACGGAACTTTTATGGAAGTCAGTTAGTGAAGAAAAGAAACTCGCGGAATGTGGTTTAAAATGTACGAACGTGATAAATGATTGTACTTAAAGTAATTTAATAAATTGATAATAAATTATCGTGAGTTTTAATAAATTAGAATAAAGACAATAAATTAGAACTACAAGAAAAATATAACAGTATCAAGTTTTTTGATACTATAAGTTCAGATGGATTGCAGGATAGTTTTGTACATCAACAGTTCACTTTTATTGCTAGTCTGTTAAAATAACTGGGATCTTATCTGAGATGCTAGTGCTGTAGGTACCCCTTGGTATGTAGGTAGATCCGCTGTAAATACCAGATACAAGGCTGGTTCGAGAATACTTTCCTGTTGGAAATTGACTGGCCCCAATTAATTAAAACGTGATCGGGTGTTATTTATTGGTTTAGCAGAATTAGTTTAATTCTTGCAGGCAACAGTTTTTCCATAACTTTAGATACGATACACAAGACATTATTTCTATCTTAATAACTTCCCATATAGAAAGGAAATACAACAAATATATACGACATATATAGGGTGAGATTTAAAAACCTCTTTCTTGGTAATCCGTTCAAAATTTTTATTCGAGAAATTTATGTAATATTAACCTGGCCAAATGAGTTTTTGGTAGTCTCTCAAGATTCGTGAATCCAATCCTTGATCGTTTCCAATCTCCGATAGAAACGGCAAAATAAAAAGGAATAAAAATTAATAAAATTCTAAAAATATACATGAAATCTTACCCGTGCTGTTTTTTGTTTACCTCCTGTGAATCTGTAATATATTCCTATCGATGATGAGATAAATAATACTATAGCTATAACTACGTAGTCCCATAAACCGAACAGGGGTTGAGCATCCATCGTTGAAATTTTCTAAGGAACTACAAACCTAAAACCAAAGAGTTGAATTATTTTTAGTAACCAGCTAGTTTCAAGTTACAAGGAGATACAACTACGAGGTATACCACAGATATAAACAAATATTTGGTGGTAAAGACGTAGTATCTCTTATAAGAATAGGAAGATTAAGATGGGCAGGACATCTAGCAAGATCACAGCAGAACAACCTTCCTAGAAGAATCCTTATGTCACAACCCGCGGGAAGCAGAAAAAGGGGTAGGCCAAAACTCAGATGGAAGGATGGTGTAGATGAGGATGGTAGAAAGATAGGCGCAGCAAACTGGCAACGGTTGGCAATGGATAGGACTGCCTGGCGTAATAGACTTGGGAAGGTCGAGGCTCTTTCATAGGGCTGTAGCACCATTGATGATGATGAATGAAATTATAATACTAGCAGAAGAACAGCAGGGTTTTAGGTCGGGAAGATCAGAATCAGCACCGACGCTATATTTATAATAAAGCAAATGCAATAGAAATCGTTAGAATACAACAAATCGGCATATCTGTTTCGTAGACCTTAATAAGGCATTTGGCCGGGTCAAATTAAAGGAAGTATTGTACGCAAGAGAGATACCTTTAAGAATATTTTAAAATACCTACCGATATCCGGATAATCCAGATTTCAATCCAAAATTACTAAAATCATTTAGCAAAATTTTTAAAGAAAAAAATTAAGATTTTTTAAATTTTAAATAGCTTAAATGTATAATGATATTATAAAAAATATTAAAAATTCAGTAATAAGCAGACATACAATGTAAATAACCTACATATAGTAAGAATGCGCTATAAGAAGTATTCACTTATGTCGGCACTCCCCAAGTGCCACGCTTTTTTTCAAACTTTTTTAATCGATTAAATCTTCGAAACAGTGACTCTTAGTAGATATATAATTGCATGATCAACAATTTTTCTCTGATGTATTTTTATAATAAAACTTGAAGTTTGGCTGAAAAATACAAAAAAAAATCCCATATTTGGGATATTTGAACTTGAATAACTATTTTTGCAAATGTGGGATTCGTGGTGACTTTTCACATTTTATTTATAATGGAGCCACGAAAATTTATACCAATTTTTAGTTCGATTCGATTTTTTTTAACCTTACTCCTATTTTTCGAGTTAACCTGACCGGGCTTGTAGCGTTTACGCTACTGATTAACCCCTCACGAAAATTTTTGTGTTCCGCCAGCGATCGATTTTTAAATGGACATTTTTCCCCACACGCGTAGTAGTCGCTTAAAAAGGAAGATTGGTCGAGTCTGTACGAGAACGATCAGTTTTTGGTCAGAATTCAGCGCAGACACGCCAACCGGTGAAATTTTTCACCTTCAAAGTGACGGAATTGGAGCAGTGAAATAATTTGGGGAAGAATAAAATAGAAATATTAATAAAAATAATTAACTTTTTAAAATCAATATTTATAAGAGTTCCACAGAAAAGAAAGATTTTTTTTGGCGTGCTGCGGCTCCATATTCGGCTCCTATACCTCGTATAGATATCATCCTGAGTAAGTTACAAAATGCTAAATTCATTTCATCTATTAACTTGAAGAAAGCATTTTGTAACTTACTCAGGATGATATCTATACGAGGTATAGGATACGCGTCTCTGTTCATAGTTATACTGTTAAGTTTACGTCCGTCAAAACAGACACGAAAAGTCCCGTCTTTCTTTTTTGTCAACCACAAAGGGCTAAAAAAAGAAGAAGTACTGGGCTCAATAATACCTAACTTTAGCATTTCATCTACCTCCTTTACTAGGCTTTCATGCCAGGCTTGAGGCAAGGGATATTGGTATTGTCTGAAGGGCTTGGACGAACCCACATCAATGTGATGTTCGATGAGATGAGTTCTACCCAACTTATTTTTCGAAGAGATAGAAGAGAATGATTTGATAACATTATTTAACTGCTCTAGTTCACGAGCATTAAGTCTACTCATATTTTTAACTGCATTGACACAAGAGATATTAAACGAAGAAACAGATAAGGAAAATTCAGGAAAATTTAACTCACTATTAAAAGTTTTCAGAAAATCCATTCCTAGAATAACTGAATTTTTAACTGAAGGGATAACAAAGAATGTAATCATTCTTTTACAAAAACTAACAGAAATCTCAGTAGTGAATTGACCTAAAATTGGTTGAACTTGACCATCAGCTGTAGTCACTTGCAAACTTTGATCTATTCCTATATTTACATTTGAATTCTGGAGAAATTTCAGACCTAGAGAACCTAAAATAGAGATATTGGACCCCGTGTCCAGTAAAGCTAAACAAGAATGTCCTAAGATAGAGATTTCAAGATATGGACGATTATCCTTGTTTTTTCGAACCAACAATGAGTTTATATCTAAATCAACAATCGAAGAGAGGACAACGTTAGTTGAGCACGAGCACCGTAATTCTTCTGTAGTTTCTTCATGTAATCCCTTGTCTTCGTTTGTTGATTTAGATATAAACTCATTGTTGGTTCGAAAAAACAAGGATAATCGTCCATATCTTGAAATCTCTATCTTAGGACATTCTTGTTTAGCTTTACTGGACACAGGGTCCAATATCTCTATTTTAGGTTCTCTCGGTATGGAATTTCTCCAGAATTCAAATGTAAATATAGGAATAGATCAAAGTTTGCAAGTGACTACAGCTGATGGTCAAGTTCAACCAATTTTAGGTCAATTCACTACTGAGATTTCTGTTAGTTTTTGTAAAAGAATGATTACATTCTTTGTTATCCCTTCAGTTAAAAATCGAGTTATTCTAGGAATGGATTTTCTGAAAACTTTTAATAGTGAGTTAAATTTTCCTGAATTTTCCTTATCTGTTTCTTCGTTTAATATCTCTTGTGTCAATGCAGTTAAAAATATGAGTAGACTTAATGCTCGTGAACTAGAGCAGTTAAATAATGTTATCAAATCATTCTCTTCTATCTCTTCGAAAAATAAGTTGGGTAAAGCTCATCTCATCGAACATCACATTGATGTGGGTTCGTCCAAGCCCTTCAGACAATACCAATATCCCTTGCCTCAAGCCTGGCATGAAAGCCTAGTAAAGGAGGTAGATGAAATGCTAAAGTTAGGTATTATTGAGCCCAGTACTTCTTCTTTTTGTAGCCCTTTGTGGTTGACAAAAAAGAAAGACGGGACTTTTCGTGTCTGTTTTGACGGACGTAAACTTAACAGTATAACTATGAACAGAGACGCGTATCCTATACCTCGTATAGATATCATCCTGAGTAAGTTACAGGCTATTGTAATATAAGGTAATAAAAAAGTATACCACAGTTATAATCATTTAAAAGCACCAGTCGATTTAGATAACACTACACTAGTGTAGTATTTATCACATGCATCAAGTAAAAACTATTTATTTATAAACTTTATAGAAAATTCATCCTCCTTTCAAAATAATATAGGTATCTATCACGTGCATTTATTTAAATAAAGAAACTTGTTCTACTTCTACAGAGACATTTAGAGAACAATATCAATATTTTAAAGTATCAATTTGTCATGTTAACACTTCGGAATGCATGATAATTAACAAACCATACCAAACAAATATTCCAACCTTTAAACTCTTAGAATGTTTATTTCCAGTATAGTAGTTATCGATAACTTTAATTAAATCGATCGTAGACAAGTTAACTGATAACAAAGTTGGGATAAAGAATAACAACAATAAAATATTATTTAACACCTTGACTGCTGTGGTTAAATACTTAATATACTAGTTCTTGCTTCACATGCCCCCGGAGATACGTTATGGTTTATTCTGTCTATGCGTCACATGCCGCATGTGGCATGTGTGTGCATATAGGTCCTTCATGCCTTCTAGTACACAGAAGTATAACTTTTGCATATACTTTATACATGAAACTATTATAGAAGTATTCATCTACTTTCCTCTCAAACAGGACATGCCGCCAACGTCTCGTGTAGCACAGACAGCGAAATAAATTTTCTCTTGAAGGTAATTGGATAAAAAGATGTTTGTAAAAACCAAATATTTTATATTAAAATAAAAAGAATAAACGCATTTTAAAATTAACTGGTAGTTTCTGCTTCTTCTATTTATTTATGTGCCTTGTTAAAACAAGACAAACAGTAGCCAGGTTGACCAGGGCAATCGGAACAAAAAGTTATAATCCTACGAACTTTTTTATCTACTTCACGGTAACTTAAACCTGAAGATTTTAATACTTGACGACAACCTCTACATGGCTTTCGCCGTTTTCTTCCAGGTCCTTCAGGTTTGATAAAATTATGCACTCTTTTTTTTTAAGTGGTTTTTCTTCAAGTGATTGTACTAAATTATATGCCAACTGACGTCTAAATTCTGTAATGCTCATTTTTTTTTAGAGCACATATTGAATATAATTAAGCTATTAACAATAGCTGTTCCAAGTATCATCTCAAATACTACTTTTCTAAAAAAAATGAATATTAAAAGAAAGAGATATTAAAATTAAAACCTATTTTATTTCTTACCGGTACCATTTCAAGCATCGACGTAGCACTGTATGGTAGGATGACATCTGATCCGAATAGTCTACGCCTTTCTTTGCAGAGTTGTAATCAATTATACATTTCGGTTTCACAATTTCCTCTTTTTGCCTATTCTGGTTTCCTGTTGGAATCAACTTCTTACTATGGGCTGGTACACTTGAAATTATTAACACAGGTCTCTTATCCATCCACTTAATAATTCTTAGTCCATCTTTCTTTTTTCCAATAACTTCTCTTCGCTTCATCTTTTTGGACTGGTTAAAAATAGGTGGTATTCCTTTTCTGTTTCCTCTCAGAGTTCCACAGTACATCATATTTTCTGCTAACAATCTTTTAACAATAGGAATTCCTGAATAAAAATTATCAGCAAATAATATTTTGCCAGCTTTATTTGTGATACACTGAAGTAATTTTAGAACAACTGCTTCAGAGTGTGCCACTTTAACTGGTTGTTGTTCATTTTTCCCTGTGTAAATATTTA